CGTGTCCGTACTAGCCAAAAAGTCCACGCTACGCGCCTGTTCTTACCTGTATTACACACGATACCAACATCCTGGCTGTGACTGCAGCTATGAACACCCCATCCTCGGTGTTGACACTGGTGTAGTGACGATTCATTGCCATTACATTGTACTTCATCGAGCCAAACTGGACCATATCCTCGTCGTAAGTGCTTAAAGCTCTCTGCATCTTTAAATCCAAGTTGTTTACATGCCACGATTGTATGAGACATATTCCATGTGCGATTACATACCGTTCCCCATTGACCATTGTGATAAATCTGTAAAACACCTTGAACTAATGACGGAGAGAATCTTTTACGCTGTAACCTCAATGGCGCTGGTCCTAGATGTAAGGAAGTGATGAAGACATACAAAACATGATTTATTACAGCAGATTTAAACCAAAGGTGACATTGTCGTTTTACATTCAAGACGTTCATATACCTGCATAGCACACAACACCAACATCCTCAGTGTGCCTGCAGTTATGTTTACCCCATCCTGGGTGTTGGCACTGATCTAGTGACGATTCATCACCATTACAATATACATCATCAAGCCAAATTGGACCAGATCCTTGTCCTAAGTACTTGGTCTTCGCTGCACTCACGTAGCCAAGCTGTTTACAGGCGATGTTTGTTTCTTTCATGCCCCAGGAGTCATMACATATTGTTCCCCATKTACCATTGTAATARATCTGTAAAATACCTTGCACTGATGATGGAGTGGATGTTTTGTACAGCAATCTCAATGGYGCTGTTCCTATAAAGGGAGATTACCATAATGCATTTAAAAAAAAGACTATTCGCATTCCATCATCCTCGCAATTTCTCATAATCAACTGTTCATCGCAACTCTTAACTATGGATTTACGATTAAAAGATGATTGTCATCGTGACTGGAATTATGATGCACGAGGTAACAGTAATATCTCAACCCACAWAAGACAATCCAAACAACTAGAGGAGTCCAAGTTCCAAGTGCTGGATTCCGGATTCCGAAACATTGGATTCCGGATTCCAAGCCTTGAGATTCCGGATTCCAAAGAATGTGTTTTCTTTTTATTTCAAAATTTTTGCTGGATTCTGGATTCCAAAAATTCYAGGATTCAGATTCCGGATTCCAAAACTCTTTTTTTTTTTTTACTGGATTCCGGATTCTCTTACATGGGGCAAATATCAAAACACTCCAATTAAACAAAAGGAAGAAAGGGAAAAAAGCTGAATCCGCTGCAATTAATACGGGAATAAAATGATATCGTTTTACAATTCATCAAGTTCAATGACAAAATGTTTTCAAGTCATATTTATGCCGTGTTGTATGTCTCAGGTTATTACTTTTTCGACCATTTCCATTCTTATATGAGCCATTGCGTACCGTACCAATATMTTTAATAGCGAATACATCAGATTGCATCGATTTTTGACATCRAGTRTAAACAGCCAAAWACCAAWCGAATMTTTYCCATTCAATTTGGAACAAATTCCAACAATTTGGAATTCACTGCTTCATTTGCTAAAACAAACTACAGTCTTTTATGTCCTTTCAGCTTTAGTTTTGATTTTTCGAAACTCGTACCGACGATAGTTAGTTTCATTCCTTGACGCTGATGACTGATTGAACGTCCATTCAATTTGGAACAAATTCCAACAATTTGGAATTCACTGCTTCATTTGCTAAAACAAACTACAGTCTTTTATGTCCTTTCAGCTTTAGTTTTGATTTTTCGAAACTCGTACCGACGATAGTTAGTTTCATTCCTTGACGCTGATGACTGATTGAACGTGCATGACTGTCAGGGGGTACCCATAGTGTTACTTATACTAGATGCATCTTAATTTCTGTGGATATGTCCCTACTCTTTTGCGTCAAAAGTAACCCTTCCCCCACCCACACAGTCACAAAAACACTTCAAAAGGAAATTCTGTAAGAACATCAAGATTGTGGGTTAGTTTAACTAATCGTATCTTTTTGGGTTTGACGTGAGCTTTTTAGAAAATTGAATATCGATGTTTCGGTTTAAGGGYCTGWGTTGCTTAAACGGATGATGTTAAATCTTTCATACCAGCAGTTTCGAATGAGAGATTGAAAGTCCATCTAGCCATCAGTCGTTCAAATAATGAAACTACAATAAGAAATATTTCAAAAAACGACAGTGCTTAGAAGCAGACCAGACTAAAGACGAATGAATTTGAAGGGGCGGGAAAAAAATYGCGGTAGTATATGCGACTTATGGCGTGAAGAGGGATGATAACAAAGATTGATGACAGAGTTTGTCCCTATGTTAGCCACTTTATACCACACTGATACCAGCTTACATTGTTTTAGGGAGTAAGACAAAGAAAAAAAATGTGGCCCTCCCTTGAATTGGGTAAAAAAAAAATTATTACCCTCCCCCAAAATATATATACTAGATATTCCCATTAAAAAATTAAAATAATATAGAGTAATAATATAGAGTAAACAGCTGGATCATTTTATTCAGGGTTCGTTATACTCCTTGAAAAGCCCTGGAAATAACAGGTTTTTATAAGGGCATTTGAAAAGACCTTGAAAAATAGAAAAATACTGCTAGAATACTCCTTCTAAGTTCTTTTTACCGTATTACATTTGTGCAAAACAATCATTTACAGGGGCGGCGGAGCCAGGGAAGCTGGGGGACACTGGCCCCCCACCCGCATAACGGCTCGAAACATTCAATAATTGATTTTTTCGTTGTAAAATGCATTTGCAAAAGTTCATGTGACGTCATCACTACAAGTCTATTATTGTGGCCCCCAAGAAAATTTTGGCTCAACCGCCCCTGATTTATGATAAGTTGTGATCCTTTKTTTGGTKTAATATCGTATRCTGAATCAATTTTAACCATTTTYTGTRGAGTCAGCGATCTTAGTTCAGAATGCTCACATTTTACTTTATTACTATTATAAGTTTTTCTTTTCCCAGCATTTTGTAGCTGTTCTGACGRATCTTCTTGTACAAAASAGTGTACTCATGCTCTCTTAAGTTTCCTGCGCGGCAAAATTTTGAAAAATCTCCACTAAAGCTTTTTGACAAGAGTTTTTAAGATAAACACAGATTACATCGATTTACATCAATCAACTTACCAAATGCGCAGCAAGTATAAACAGCTAAAAACCAAACAAGAATAACGTTAACTCGAACTTTTTCCATTCCTTGAAAGTCCAACAATTTGGAATTCACTGCTCTATTTGCTAAAGCAAACTACAGTCTTAGATGTCCTCTCAGCTTTTGTTGTGTGTGTTTTGTTTTCTTTTTTCCAAGTGTGAAGTATAAACATTACAGTTTCATGATCTAAGATTAGTTTAATTAGTCATATATTTCAAGGTTTGACTTCTAAATAATAGGTTAAAATGAAACTTTAGAACTGCCGATGTTTCGGTTCATTGGCTTGCTTAAACGGATGGTTTTAAAGGCACGCTACAACTTCCAAAAACCTTTGCGATCATTCTTCTGTTTTACATTTTTACAGGGTTCGTACAGTCTTGAAAAGTCCTTGATTTTTGAGCTACAATTGTAGGTCCTTGAAAAGTCCTTGATTGCACATTTTCCTTGAAAAGTCCTTGAATTTGGAGGAAATGTCCTTGAAAATGATAATTTGGTCCTTGAATCAGTTTGGTTGTTGTTAGGCTATGTTTTAGGGATCAATTTACCAATCTTTGGCAAGAAACTTTTATCCTTTTTGTGATACCTGTACTATTGTCCAATATGGCAACCGAGAAATTAATAGAATTTGAAGAAAATCTTCTCCAAAAGAGAAAGTCCTTAACTGCAATGCTCTTATTGTTGTGTTTGGTAAGACACTAGCCTGTGTAAATAAATACACAGGCTACTAAGGCACAGGCTTAGTAAGTTTACAATCTTATCTAGTTTTTCTTTGTAATTCATGTCCTTGAAAATTGAAAATTCATCCTTAAAAAGTCCTTGAATTTTGTGTGAAAAACTCTGTACGAACCCTGTACAAATGGTTTATTTTTAGAAGGTGCTTTTCGATTGGCGCAAAATCAAAGATGGCGAATTTCCGTATGTAAGGAAATCGCGCAAAAGGCTGAAAAGGTCCTTTTCATGTCAGACGACATGAAATCATGACAACATGTGAGATGTGACAGTCAGAAAATTCGTGGTTGACAGTTGATCTTTTGACTGAAATTTCAATAAAAGTCATTGAATTGTTTTGTTTTCCAGAATTCAAAAGATTAATACCCTGTAAATAACACTATAGATATATCCAGATATCTTAACCTGTTATATTACTCGGGTAGGATCCTCCAGATTATAGTTTTACCACATTCTGTGAAGATATGGTAATATAAATTTAGTTTAATTGATCATATCTTTTAGGGTTTAATTTCCAAACATGAGGTGAAAATGAAATGTTAGCACTGTCGATGTTTCGTATCATGGGCTTTCATTTCCTCCAAATGACATTCTTTTTCCCTTCTCATCAAGGAGTCAGCTGCAATGTTTTCCTTGAGCAAAGCCGCTCTCCGGCTATTGATATTATCTCATGAGGTGTTATAACTGCGCTCAAATATCAATAAATGCAAAATCTTTTTTTTTTAATAAAAAAATATAATTTTGCAATCGTTTTTCTGATAATTGTATACCTTATAAGACTCATGTTTTATATTATCAAGCTGGTATACTCTTTATAGGTCCACAAATCAGACCTTTTTACCAATACGGCCGCCATCTTGAATTTTGAAGAAATCATGACAAAAGCACACATTGTCATATTATAGAAGCGAAACATTTCTTTCACTGTTAATTTCGGGTTTCAGAAGTATAGATTAATTGGCTTCAAAGCAATCAAATCTTATCTTTTTCATTTGACTTTCACATTTTAAGAAATGATATCCATAGTTTCTTACTAAATCAATACTTAAAACAATACAATTCAAGATGGCGGACGTATTTTACTATTAGTAAAAAGACTATTGAATCGCTTTGGGAAAAATCAAGGTTATGAAAACCTCTACTGMWGGAWACTTAGTTTTGATACTTCAAAATGGAGGTGATTGCACTTGTGTTCGTGTCCGATTGTCACTTTGGTGTCCGGGTGATGAGGTTTCAGTTTTTTGGAGAATATTTAGTTAGAGAATCTTCTTTTTTATTTGTCGTTATTGCAATTGCTTGATGACTCTGTGAYGACCCATCGGATTCAGACTCTTGGTATTTTCATATATCGGCTCTTCCATGTGGGCCATGGAAGAAGTGAGTTTGCCCTGTAAAAAATCAATTCAAATCAAAGACCTTGAAGATTAAAACTCAAAAAAGACAAAATGTTTAGTTTTTATATCCGTATTTTAAATAATAAGATTAATAAAATAAACATTAGACTCCTATACCTCCCCATTTCTCCTTATCGTACTTTGTTAACCATTATAATAATTTTAATTATTAAAATATTACCAGTAGTCTCTTCTAACAGCCGCGACTTCCGGTCTCGTCAATTTTCCTCGGGCTGTTAAAAGAGACTAGGTTATCAGTGACTATGAGAATATTTCAACCTGGATTAATTATGCAATTATACTTTGAATATATCTAAGCCAAAGACAAAGCATTTCAATTCCAATAATTGTTCAACCTACAGAAATCGGGATATTACAGCTCTCGACCCAAAAACCACTCACCGGTCTAACGACGACATTAGAGATATGGTAGGCCGATTCTTCACCAAAACCTACACGTTGCTGGGATCTTTTCTGTGGAACGAGAGACTGGTAATTGGAATCATTACCAGCCAWGCGGACTGCATCTGTGAAGGTAAGATGATTTATACAATCAAGAGGGAGCGATTGAGTGTTTTTCACTGTCCATATGATTAGTGTAGTCCCCATGCATCCATGAACCTTTGCGGTCGTTTTTGTTTTACAAATGATGCTTTCTGATTGGTTTAAAGTCAATTTTCGTATGTGATAAAATCGTTCAAAGGCCTTTACAGTTCTTATCYCAGATCGACTTCATATTCACAGTAGACGGAAATGTCCAATATTGTTGAAAGGATGTGAGTTCTTCGCATTGAACCGCAATGCATTCTTGGGAATCTCAGTTGACGTAATCTGTATTGCAACGGAGTTCAATGTGCGTGTGTTAACAGGCACAACGGAGCATAATTTTTATTTTGATGGGGGGTGGGAGGCTAAATTGGAACGGGACAACTTTCGAGAAGCGACAGTCGAATGTTTTCAAAATGGCGGCCAAAGTATTGGGGGGAGGGGTCTAAGCTTCCCCAAGCAACACCGGTTCCGCGGTGCCTGGTTATAGCTGTCCAATAAGTGCAAACCGACAAAACGTGTTGGAGTTACGATTCGATGCAGACTGCTTTGAATCAAAAGTGAATAAGTGTGCACTGGGCCTGTACAAGCCATCGAAAATAAACGTATGATCAATCAATATGATTTTATAAACAGACTAAGTAAGTCCTTCAAATCAAGCATCATGTTCTAAAATAAGCAACAAAGTAATAATAATAATTACTTGTTTTTCTGTGCTGTGGTGGATAATCTTGTTGCTGGTCAGAGGTTTCTCCTGTATTGTCGCGTGCKCCCGCTAAATCTGTCGTTATAAAAGAGTTTAATTTTCCGCTAAATCTGTCGTTATAAAAGAGTTTAATTTTCTTGGCATTTGTACAGGGCTCGAAATAACGACCAAGCAAATGCTGGACAAGATGTCCTTCCAAATTCATTTTTGGAAGGTCATGTCGAGTTTTGAAAGGACAAAAACTTTATTATACTGTTATGTTCTCTTAATTCATAGGTTTTTGTATCCAGAAAGATCGACAAGCATTTTATTAATGGATGTAAAAGATTTTATATGGTAACTGAGAAGTGATTTGTCTAAAAATGTGGCAGGTCAATCTGTCCTTTCAAAACTCGATTTGGCTGGTCATCTAGCGAATATGGAAGGACATTGTCCTTTGACCGGCCGTTATTTCGAGCCCTGTTGTATGAGATTAGATTAGGTCTGTGTGAATAAGAGGCATGGTTTTCAAAGAAATGACACCTAATATGGCGTTTTTGTATCATCATCATTCCCTTTTCTGAGTCTACACCTTTGCAGCGTTGCTGCCTTGTCCTTCACTCACTTTACATCGCTAAGAAAACGCATCGGAGCTGGCAGAGAATTCAACTTATAATTTGAGAGTTTATGTCATTCTGAGTACCTGACATCTCGATCTGAGGATTGTCGTCCCTTTTCCTTTCTTTCTTTCTCCTCTTCGTCACCACATGATACACAATKTGACCAATCAGAGCGACGATGGACATCACCAAAAGGACGGCTAAACCAATCACCAATGGATCAATGTAATTCTTATCAGAATGTCCTGAAGAATTTATAAATGCAAAAAAACCTGAATGTAATGAAATGACAAACGGTATCATCTTTAGAAAAGTTGTCCCTTCTCGTCATCAAGTTCATCTTCTGGCAGAACGAACAATCCATCGATAGTAAATGTTTGTGGTTTCCATTGAGTATTTTACCTTGTGTATGGCCGTGAGCACCAGATTTCGTTGTAAAAGATACAAATGGCCCGTCTCTGATAACTCTTTTCTAAAAGAATAAAAATTAAGAAGCGTTTCGCTGACAAAAAGCCATGAGCTAAACAACATAGTCCTTTGCACAAACCGGCAAGCAAAAGCAAGCAAATGAGCAAAAGTGTCAAGAGGTCTGTAAGCAAACATTCAAGAAACTATGCAAAAGAATATATCATTACATATATATCACCAAATGTATCCTTAACCGTGATTATTATTACCTCATTCGATGTCATGGTGACGACTCTCACGTAAACTTTATAGTTACATCCGGGTTCTAATGGTGTGTTATTGTAACCATGGTAATTCAGACCATCACCGATAGTGAACGTAGAACTGGTAGTTGGTATCTCAGCAGCGATGTAAGAATGGTTTACTCTCATGTCTTTAGTGGATAGGAACACGTCTATGCCTGTCCTTTCGACCACAATTTGATACCAACTGAAAAGTAAATACAAAAATACATATCACGTTTGCGTTTTTATAATAATTTATACTTGACAATAATTACGTCTACCGTTTATAAACTTTTCCTTTCCTCTGCTGTTTGCGAAGAAAGGTGATTTTTGCGGATTTCTGTCGGATAGATCTGCTGTCGCTTATTTGAAATTCTGGAGGATTTTCCACTGGAACTGAAGTAGTTGCAAACCTCACAAAGCTTGATTTTCCAAAAATCTTTTTCTGAAAACAAAAACAAAATTAATTGTAATCGTCTTTCTGGTATTTATTGTACGTCCATCATAATGAAGGGGCATATAGAGGCGTGTGCAGGGGGTGCTTCCAGATCCTTGACATAAGACGTTTTTCAAAAATGAGACTATTTTTGGCAAATCAATAGGGTAAGCATTGTCTGAAACTGCAACAACTTTTTTTGTGTGTCAACCCAAAAGAGTATCCGCGCAATTTTGAAGTCAATCGCTGGAACCATCCCTCACGAAGATCCTGTACTCGCCCCTGAACATAACATAGTCGACAGGAAGAGGTGGACGTCTAACTATTTACAGATTATACTTATAAACATCAAAGAGAGTTGATAATTTTCCCTGTTGCTAATTACCCCATCCATTGCTATGGTAACGATCCTCACGTGAACCCTATACACACATCCGGGTTCTAATGGTATGTTATGGTAATCATGGTAATAGAGACTATCACCGATAGTGAAACTACTAGCATCATTTGGACTGGCTGGAAGCTCTGCAGCGATGTAGGAATCATTAAACACTGTTTTGGTGATGGTAGAGCATGTCTCCACGGAAGCATTGGTACAAGAAGTAGTAGGTGATGGTATTTCTAGACCCTTTTCCACTACAAATTGATATGTGCTAAAAAAATTCGAAGAAAAAGAAGTAATAAGGATATTGCCAACTGTTATCTGTCAAACAGACAGTTTTTTACCTTTTCAATCGTTCGTCCAATGGCTTAGCAGCTTTGGCAAGGTTTATAATCACTGCAGAATCTGTGATGTCGTTACTTGAGCTGATTTGAAAGTGAGGAGCATCCGCTTTCCAAAGGATATCAATTAAATAATATGTTTACCAAATTTAATAATCATGACTTAAGCGTAATAGATGATGGATAACGAAGCTACATAATTTGAAATATATTGAAACAGTCGGTCCCGGTTACAATACTTTACCTAGGTTGCATGTGACAGCAACGTCCTGGTCATGGGTACAATTGCTTGTCTTCCACCAACCTGAATGTCTACAGTCAACAATTGAGTCTTCTGCTCCACCGCATTCAAGATCACTGAGCCAAATGGTACCATTTCCAGGAATCGTGAACACTTGACTTACTCCAACATAACCAAGCATGCGGCAGATGACTTTGGAATTGTTCATATCCATTCCTTTGTTACATAGAGTGCCCCATGTGTTACCATAGCGAATACCAACGCGACCAGAATTAGGTGTGATACTGTTTTCTAAAAGGATTTCTACAGCTGTTTTTCCTGGAAAAAAGGATGGAGTGGTATACTGACTTGACGAAGGCACGCTGTTGCTATCAGCGGTGCTGCTATTTCTAGATGGGGTACTTGTCTATTAGAATTTGGCTTTCAACATTTAATCTTATGTAAGGATCTTACTAAGGTACTATTCATGCCATGTTTGAAGAGAAATC